AGTTGTCATGAAAATGAACAAAAAAGTAAAGTTCACAAGTCATAGTTGGTATACCCAATTTAAATATAAACATTAAATTCATACATCACAAGTACGTCATTCTCTTCGTGTTGATAAGAGAAATTACGAAAAACAAATTATTAGTGCAACGGAAGCTAGAATTCTTCTACAGATAAAGTATTAATTCGAACTAGTACTGTCAAAAACCCAAATCCGTCACCGACGAGACTTTAACGCCACTTTCCAGTCAACGACGATGCGAATGCAACAATGTTGTCACTAGGATATCCAGCCGGTTTCATAAAAAACGGATTGAGTCTTTAAATGCCCGTCCTTGTTTAACCATGATTTTGAAAGGAATCTCCATGCAAAATGAGTACTACTTGCGAGAAGCAAAGTGGAAGACACGCTCTGTAACCCTAGCAACTCCAAGAAATATAATATTCCCTGCATCAAAAACGAAGGCAGTACTTCCGGAGCCTCGGATTAAATTTTGATACTGTTAAAATATTACAAGTTTTGCTAAATTAATCAATTCAATCCTCAATTAATATTGACTTAGTTTAATACGTTGCAAAGAATTCACCATATTTAAACTAATACTTAAAATACTTTAAATATATTTAAAATATGAGTTTTCAGATCTTAAGTGCCTAGTTCAGAATTTTTTTACCCACAGCCAAAGACACACTGAAACAAGACACATTAACTCAAATTTTAACAAGAACTATGTGAACAATCACATCGTATTTCGAACAGAAACTACATCATAAGCAATGTATATCATATTCAAAATTCTAAAAAGTTGAAACATAAATAGCGAAATATATTCTTCCGAGAACATCCACTCTTGGTAACGCGTATAATTTATTCTGTGTGTGCTGCCGAGTCAATCGGCGACTTTCCTTGTATGTGAATTTGGAGAGGGCGGGTTCTTTGGGGGAAGATACATTAGGAAAGTGGTACCCCGAATAATGTGTCCATTATCGTAAAGCCTGTGGTTTTTTACATGTGCACTGAAGCCTACTGAAACAGCAACCTCCATTACGCATTAACCCCATTAACGACGGTCACTTGTCCGTAATCGATTGATTTTTCTATAATAACAAAGCAGCTGTGAAGTATGACTTCTTTCAAGCGATTACCAGATGGTGATCAGAATCATTTCGTAAATTAACATGTATTGGATGGTCAAACTTCCTCTAATTTTCTTCGAGCGGTCAAAGAAGAGGATAAGCGGAGGTTTTTAATACCTTTCTTTTTTAGGATGCATTGTTGGGTTTCATAGCTGAAATATGGTCTAAAATCTGTGAAGTCGGTTTCTTGGGGGAGGAATTAATTTGTTTTTCAGGTAATGTACTATATTACCTCTTAAATATTTTTCTTCTAAATCGCAGCCTTAAGTCTGATTTTCTTTTGAGTTCTGACCAGAGAATGTGGAAAGTAAATTGCTCAAGAAAGACAATATGTAGTAACACAGCAGATGTATCTGTTACTGTCCAAGAAAATGCCCCTTAGAAGTGAGATAAAAATTTCTATAGATTTTATATGTTTAAAGGCAGAAATAACAACTTTAAAAGTTATTAGTATGGAGTTTTAAGAAAATATATTTAAAACCAATATGTCAAGTGGCGTGAAAAGCTAAAGCCTGTTGATGCGGGATGCTGTAAATGCAAAATAGTTAATGTTTTTTATACATATGGTTGACTACATGCAGCCCTCGGTGGCCTGTTGGTTAGCGTGATCACTTCAAACGGCGCAACACTGGGTTCGAGTCCCGCTCCAGACAACAAATTATTATGCACTTTCCTTGAAATGTCCAAGTATCTGTTGGTGGGTGACGATGATAAAGTTCCCTTCTCAGTTTGGGAATACCGGAATACAACGTAGGGATAGCTGCGTGCTAACCACACGTAGCCTTCAACTAATTGTCGCAAACTCAGGACGCTGCTGGTAGGCCTTAGCTCATAAAGAGCTGTTGCTGCCAAATACGTACGTACATACATGGCTGAATATGCGACTTAGTAATTGCAAGTAGATAAGACTATCATTAGGTTCACTTCTCAAATTCTTATAACATTCAATAAAAGAAGCCATGAATGAATGTGCGAAGAAAGAATCGACGTCGTTCGCGATACGCATATTGGATGAAGGTAAGATTTTTTTTGTCTCTTGACGCCAGGTTCTTTACTTTTCACGTTACCCATGTATTTAAAAATATTCTCTTTCCTGTGGCGTTGATCAAACACACTGGAGTGAATGTCAGAAATTGGTAGCTTAAGCACTTAGAGCATATTCATAACGAATTAAAGGTATTTGGTGTCTTTACACGGAATCACGTATTGTGCTGAAGCCTGCTAAAAATAGTATAATCTATGCACAATGAAATAACTATTGATGAAGTTCCATATGGTGTGTTTCAATTGTTTTGTTGGTGTTTTGATTTTTGAGTTGGTGTGTTTGATAGTTAAAACCGAATAACAAATTAGAATGGAATGAAACTTGTTTTCAGTTAAACATCTTTCTAATCACTTTTGAATATAACTTATTTATTGGATACTATCGTATTATTATATTATCTTATATTATATTATATTATATTATATTATATTATATTATATTATTCAATACGACAAAAAATGTTGTCTTAAGAGGTCACTGACATACCCGGCAAATATTTGCCTTTAAAAGCGCTTCTCATTTTTGATACTACTGGTTGTTTTTGTTGTTATGACTTCATTTTAATTTCTTGTTTCATTATTATTTATTACTTATTGAACTTTTACATAACCAGGAACATAACACGGGATGATGATGGTCGCCATCGTCAATGTACTGAAAATACAACGTCAAAATATTGATAATGTAAATGTCACTGCGACGCATGTGAGAATTTCGTTCATGAAAACCACACAAAACAAGCGCACTCACGCCCTCTGGCAGGCGCTTAAGCCGCTCGGCCCTTCACCGCTCCCTCCTCGATTGCTGCTCTCCTGTTCCCTGCCAGCGCCGGTGCCAGTAAACGAGTTTTCAATACAAGGCGCGCGTAACGACCGTCGAGCAAAGAAAAACAATCGAGCGATGAAAATATTTAGGCCCCAAATGGAAGGCAAACAGTAACGTGATGCTCAAGGGACAAAGCGGTCGATCTCGTGAGTTCCTCCAGCCCTGCGGTTTTCACACCAAGCCCGACCCGTTCTACACACAGCGCGGAGTTTGGTCACGCTCGTAAAACTCTCTCGTGTTCGAAATCCTGGCTTAAGGCACCACTCACATGGCTCATCAAGCTACTTCAAGTCCTGTGAAAGTTTCTGTCCGAACTTCACAACAATCTTTTAGTGAAACTACTAACAAAGTATTCATACTAGTACTCACGAAATCCTCTGATACAAATCAAAGGAAGGTAAACTGTAATGTGTCGCAGATGGAATGGTCTTGCACATTACTTGTGCGTTCCAATTATTACACGATGTCTGTTCAATTTAACATCTCGACGCTTAGTCTCAATAGTTAATCTCTTACACGCCTGATGACTCGCTGGCGTTACACATTCTTACCTACGATATCATACACACAATTCTTGCTTGAACACACTGGAAAACATTGTCTACACCTCCGCTCAAAACTCTTTCTGAAACCTCTACGAGTACTTAAGCACTCTCTAAATAATTTCATTTGAAAGCTTCGACTCGCACCGTTCTACACAAACCTCCAACGTATTCGTTGGAGAATTATCGCTATGATTTTTTTACTTGCAAGTGCAGTTGTTTCTTCACAATGAAAACGAGCAATGGTTCTCATAAGGGACAGATGCACTTGTTGTATTACGTGTGACTACTCCATTAGTGAAATACATACAAATGGAGGTGGGCTATGCATCTGATGCAACCAAATAAGACGGGTTATCCCCCCAAATTTATCACTTTTTCTCTTAACACCTCCTCCTTTCTAGCCAATCACAATGTGCGATACAAAAATTTTGAGAAGCGCTGTCGTGCGCATTTGGACCACGCACACAATGTCATTAATGTTATTTGGCGCATTCTAAAATTTTCTAATAACTAAATTTTCTAATAAAAACTAATTTCTTTTTCGGAATAGTCGTATTAAATGCTATTAGTGCGTTGGAAACTCCCAGATGAAACTTACGCCAAACTTTACATAAGAGCTGTATTAAATCTTCATGACTATGGCTTTCTTTTCAATTAATAAACTACATTTAACTAATACATAATTCCACGTCAACTAATACACAATTTCAATTATCATTCCTCATTCCACGACGTGGAAGTAAGCGAATATTTTGTGATTTTGGGCTCGCCAACTCCTTTGTTTGTTAGTATTGTGATTATGGTTCATCTTATATTCCGGGAGGTGGCGATATATCCCGATTAAGATCCGGCGCTGACTTACATTTTTACTAGTGGGATTTTGCCACTTTCAAGTATCTTCTCTATCTGATTAGAACATCCGGTTGCTAGAATTCTTCTCAAACAGCGGCTGAATTCGACCTAGTTTTATAGTTAGTAACAAAAATTCTCCATCTCAGGAACCGGACACCTGGGACGCTCGACCTGAGAAGCATCAGCAACCACAGTTGTTGTTAATGTGCCATTTCCATCAATTACAGCTTTGAAAGTCCTCAGCAAGTAGGATCTAATTTTGAACGTCACACGTTCGACCTTACGAGACTTCTTCGCAAAATGCTCTTGCGGGAAGTGGGGAGTGCTCGCCGTGAAATCAATTTCAGCCTCTAAATAACCAACGGGGGCGAAGTCGAGCGTCGAGAAGCACTTTACGAGCCACGGGCGAGCGGCGGTGGCGCTGCAGTGATCGATGGGGCGACCGCCGTGCGCGCACTCTATGACCGGAAGAAGGCAAACCACCAAGCATCCGCTTCCGGCGCCCGCCATTTCTCCGTCGAAGGTCGTCGGTGACTGGGATTTGCTGGTAGGTCGAGCGCGAATCGTCACCGTCTCCCCGCGTTGTCCCTGTTGCCACTACCCCGTGTCTGTACCGTCCGCCACTCGCTGCGGCCTGCGCGCGCCCAGCCACGCCGAACCAGCCCTGCTTCCATCAGATAGTTCCTCCAAAGTCCTGTTCGCCTGGTTTCCTACTGACAAAGCACAAAATCCTAAGTCTGCTCGCTTTGAGACCTGGGGCTGGTCGCGATCAAGGTGGAAACTTAGACCTGACAGCGAGTGAAGTATAGCTTAGCTAAGCATCGACCCTTTGATTTTACAATGCGACGATATGCTGGAGAACGGAGACCGACACTCAATTGAGAAATAAGAAAAAACTCAATGGTATTTGTAATATTTTGCATATAATTGAGTACCATGAGCTAATTTTTCCGACCAATTTTTCCACCGAGTGCGGTGGCGGTCAGTAGAAATGTGCCAGCTCTGTCTGCTTCCTTCTCACACACCCAATATGCTTCCCATTTGCGACATTCCCATAAACCGTATGCCCGCCTTCAGCATCTCACTCCTCATAAAATCTTCTCACTACACTACTGTACTGGGCGTATATGAAGTTTTTGGCGAAACTGAGTCATTGTTACTATGGGGTTATAAATTGTTCTACTAAATATTGAGGTTTGATGGTCGAATTACGAACGGTAAGTAATAAAAAACCTTTTGAATTAAGTAGTACTTGCTCTCTTTTATGTAGATTACTTAGATTATTTAATTTCGACGGCAGAAATCATTTAAAGTGATTTCTACTGCATACATTTACCAAATATTTACAAAATAATAGTAATGATTTGAACACTTCAATAGAATGGAGATCAGCTAACAAAGTGTGTTACATTTCTAAACTCGACATCTCGTTCTCATTTCATTTGCAAATACGTCCTTTAGTGCAGCACGGCAGTACATCTCAAAGATACATGAACAATACCACTAATTGGCCGCCATCACGCCGGTCTCACAAATCCTGTCTCAAGGTATAAGCAAATAATATTATGTCTTCACAGTTATTATCTCCCTTAGCAACGCCGCAATTTCTCCAGTCACTATTCCTATCTTATTCAGCTACCTTGTAGCTTTCTCACTAGGACACTCGCACCATTCCCGCCAACACGTCCAAACACTTCGTTCTCTTGCTTTCTCCTGCTCTCTCGGAATCCTTCACACTCTCAACCCCCGCGCTTCAAGCTCCTCTCTCTTCCCACGTTTCCACGCTCTCGCCACCTCGTCGTTTCCAAAATTTTTCCCAAACCGTTTGTGTCCCATTGCAACGTCTGCCTCCAGTAGCTGTGCATCCCCTACTTCATAACCTCCCCGTGACAGCACAATTGTTTCACTACTTCGCATTATCTCCGCTTACTCTTATCCTTTCTCCTTCCCCTCAATCTCCCCAAAACTCCTCCCCTTCCCTATTTCGCATTCTGTTTTTCATCCTCACCATTACCATTACAATCATCATCTGTAACCTCGGTTCCATGTGTTTCCATTACTTCAACGTTTCTTATGTTATTTTTCTCTCTCCCCTTCACTAACCCTCCGCTAACATCATGAACACCACACCAACCATCACCGTTCTCGCTTGTGCGCCCCCCTCCTTCCACACTGTCTACTCTTCTTTTGCGAGTCCGCCGTCGCCTCCCCTTGCCGAGACCTGACCACGCCCTTTCCCCATCCCTTCCCCGTCCCCCTCGCCGATCGCGGCACCACTAATTAGAAACAGGCGCAAAAAGCGTGCGCGCGGAATCCAATTACTCGGGCGCCGGATCATTAACGTTTAATGGCTTTTGAAGGTGTTCAACAAGGTGTAAGTGAAAAAGCGACTGACGCACCCGGCGCCGCCCCGCCCCGCCCCGCCCGCGCCGCGACGCCGCCACCCCATAGTGGTTGGGGCTCGAAGGAAACGGGAAAAGTCAATAGCTTTAACGTAATGTCCTAGGGGCAATACACAATGTCTCTCAGGATAAATGTCACAAACGTCTAAGGTATGGAGGGGTTGAAGAAGCGAAAGGAAAAAATTGAACGGACGGAAGAAACGAAGCGAAATAGTCGGTTGATCAGAAGGTTAATTGATTCCAGGCGTGTCAATTGCTAAGGTCGTTAGTCCCGTAAATGTAGTGAATACTTTTCCTTCCGAGGTGTCGGTGATCTTCCCCCGCTGTATGGTGAGTTCCGGCGCCGGCCTATCGGCTACCGGGGTTTTCCTCAACTAGGTATCACCCACCAGAAGGGCACCGCCCCAGCCGGGACAAGCCCTAAGCTCCCGACCAGTCTCCCGGCATGGGTGGTGATGTAGCGCATGCATGTGACTGAAAGTAAGGGGTAAGGATATGTCAAGGAATGGGAAGGAAAGATCGCACTCTTTACGTGACAAGTTCGTTCAGACAGTACTCCCGCATACGCCTGATGTTGATCACAGAAACCAAACTACAAGTCGGAGCAGCCGGTCGCTATAACTACTCCAGACTGCCACTGAATTCGACTTCGCTCTGTAGCTGACGGGATTCGTACCCAAGGACCTCCCAGTCAGAGGCACTACAATGATATCCGTTGATGCCCTGAGCCACCTAAGACGGTTTGATTGGAAAAAATCGGTGTAGCGGAATGAATTCAATAAGAAAAAGAGGGGAATGGAACTGAAGGAGTTTTGAACGAAAGAAGGGGAAGGAGCAGACGAAGCGGATGGAAGTGGTGGAGCAACAATGCAGGCCGAAACAAAGGAACCGGGAAGAACGGAAAAAGCTGAAGAAGATGGCGATGAGTAATACGTGGGAGGAACATATAGAGCAGAAGTAGCTGGATGGGCGGAGGGGAAGGTGTGGGCAGAGCGGTCTGGGCAGATCGGAGATGGCGTGCGGAGGAGACGGGCAGAGAGGGCGAGGTTGCTTAGTAGGCGCTTGTGATAAATAAAGACCCCAGAAACGCCAGGTAACCAGTTGGCGTATTACATTAATTGAATATTCAAAAAAATGTTGATATTTGTTCATGAAACAAAAGAACATTTCGAAAACGAAATGAAATTATCTTCTAAATTGTTGATATTGTTTTATTGCTGTCTTATTGAGAACGTAGTTAAAGTAACATTTTTATAATATCATTATCATTCAGTTTTTATATTTTCATTCTAAATTCAACTCACAGCAATAAACTCTGCTCATCGATACCCTTTATTAGAAACCCTTTTAATGAATTTCTGACGTCTCTTCAATTTTCATATAGTTTAAAAATTTCCTCTTTGTGAAGAAGTGTAATGTATACACCTCGGCACAATTTAGCAAACGCGCTGGAAAAAAACAACTCAGGCGCTTATCCGATACCAATCACTGACCAATAACAGAATGACAACGGTTCCCTAAACATAAACCGTGTCAGACACGCGTTCTGATTGTTTCATTCACAAAAAAGCAATAAAAATCACAAATCAAAAAAAAATGCTCTCTGCGACGAACACAGAGCAACCTTGTGACTTTCCGAAGTGGCGCCACATGTTAGTCGAGAGAACGTGAAAATCACGTCTGGCCGCCGCCACCACACGCCATTCCGACAATATGACGCTTGTGCTCGCGGGGGAGGTGGGGGGGAGGGGGCGTACTGGGAAAGGGGTATGGGGGGCAGCTGTCACGCTAGCACAAGAAGTCGGGACATGGCTACGCCCCCGCACTACGCGAAAAGGACCTGGCAGGAGGTGCGCCCACTCGCGGCTGCATTCCACACAGCGCTGCGCTCTGCATATTTTTTTCCAAACTCATTTAACAATTTTTACAAATCCATTATTTGGGGTGTTGTCACTAAAACATTGCAAAATCGCAACCCTGTTGAGCCGATCATTCAACATACTTGATCGCATATACGTTTTGAGTCCACCCAATAACGAGAAACTTCGTTCATTTCTAGAATTTGACTGTTATGGAATAATTATCTCAGTCCAAATTCTCAGTGGGTACCTTTGTCAACAGAATGTAGAGTATGGATGTTTGCTGAAATTTTGAAACGTTTATTGGAATCATCAAGGCTGCTTTATATTTCAGATCAAATGTTTTGTAAATTAAGTCAAAATGCACATGAAAATAATAAATATTTCTTGAAAGCCCTCTTAATAACGCCATTCAATTCTCTTAACCATAGAAGGCACCTTCAAATATATCAATTATAAGATATATTTTTCTTAATTTTTTCTTAAATTCGTATATAAGCATCCAATTATGTACACTCACAAAAATGATAAATAATTCCGGAAATGTCGCTTAGTTTCTAGTGATTTCATTCATTAACGTTTTACTCAAAGTAATTTTTAACATTACATTAAAAGATATTTAAGGTTATGCAGATGTTGACTTGTTCATTTACGTGGAAATTTCTTTCCTGCGCCTTTTCACATATCTCTTCACATAGACGTTGTTCGTTTATCTCACGTAAAGCGCTTCACAAACACCTTCGGCATCAAAAAAGTTCTACTCGTATATCCACCCCGAATCTTGTGAACACACACTGTAAAGCCGCGACTCTGCTGGAAGAAGACGCTTGCAGCTAGCGCGCCGAAACTCCAAGGAGTTCCGGGGGCTGGTAGGCGTTGGCGAGTCAACCCCGACTGCTTTCGGCAAGCCTTCGTTGTGACTGTCATCATTTGACAGCATCCAGCTGAGGAATGACGTACATCGATGCCGGAAACCACACCGAAATAATAAAAAATTAATGGTATATTTACATTGCTACTGAATTAGGAATACGCAAGTTTATTTTATAAAAACGGGGGAAATGGCAGTTATTTTTTATGTTTTTAGTTGTCCGAAATTTTGTAATAGTTGTTTAATACAAAAATGCAAGTACCTCTCAGATTTTAAAATATATTAGCAATATTTATGTAAATCAATATAAATTGATATCTTTAAAATTATCAATAATATTTCAACGCCCTCATGAATAGAATGTCGATACGTTATACTCGTCTTTTCGACAATTATAAACCGAAATTGCATGGACTCCGTATTAGTGGTAGGAAAGAAAATATAAAGTTTAATAATTTGTTAAAAAATAATTTATAATCTTTTCATTTATTATTTACAAGGGTGCAATAAAAGTAAAAAAAATAGTCAAAATGTCTTTCGTATCTTTTCTCGTTTTTCATGAAAAAAGTGTTAAATTGTCATATAACTGCTTCCTTTGATAGTGTAAATTTCATTTCCTTTCGTGCATCAAAAGAAATGTTTTCCCCGAAAATTACTTTAGCCGGAGACGCTTTTTACCTGATAAAAAGTGAATACCAAAAGACGTAATTCTTCTTTCCCTTTTATTACCATTATCCGCATTATGAAAGGCGTCCAAATACTACCAGCAGCCTGGAGAACGCAAAAGCTGGTTAACAATGCCGTATTATCGCCGTACAGCAAGGAAGCTTCTTGTGTGCGTTTTAAGAAGCTCTTAGGAAGCAAGGAGAAGACAGGAAGACGGGCGTCGGTCACTCTGCCGCCTTCTCAGAAGCAACGCCGTCTTCGAGGGATCCTCTGAATAAGTTGGGAGGCGGCGGGCGCTAACCCTGCTCAGGCAAATGGCCAGCAGAAGCCAACGCTTTCAAACGCGTTAACAGCGCTCGGCTCGGATGAAGTCTAGGTATTACGATAATGAAGCGTTATGAACCGTTAAGACGGAACTTGCCATTAATCCGCATTGAACAGGAGGGAAACTTTGCCTCCGTATGCGACTTTGCTTTTAGGAGCCGAGTTACTTGCGCGTGGTAACTACGTGCTTTCTTATGCAAGAAATATGCAAGTCTTGCATTTTTAATGAGCTGGAAGCGATTGAAGTAATAACTTAAGCTTCAGAAAGTTAAAAGAGGAAAGAATTTTCGACGCGTCGGTAAAGAAATTTGTTGTTTTGTTCATAACTTTCTATCCTAATCGCTCAAGAATGACATTTAAATGCATTTTGTAGAAAATTATATTGCAAGTTTTCATTAACATCACTTTTATTTCAATTTACTGAATATTTCGACAAAATTCTTTACAATTTTATGAACAATATAAAGTAATTTAAACAATTGGTTTAAAATACAGCACGCAAGACATACAGCAAGACATGTCCAAAACAAAGAGAATCTTTATTGTGAGCAAAAGTATTATTTTTCATTTTCAAACACGTTTTTTGCAACATCATGCTTCTGTTTGTTCGAAAACGAGACATTGATAGTTTTCGTTGACTTATTTACTTTTCACAGCAATTCCTTTTTTATTTTCTCATTATGTATAAAAAAATGTTTAAGCGATTGCAAGTATCAAAAGCTTGTTCTACGTCCAAATCAAAAAATATGTTGTCCCTTTACTTATACTCATATAGCATTCTGAATGCACCAATAGGATCTTATTCCTGTTAATAGAAACTAATTCAATCTAAACTTGGTGCACCAAAACGTAATAAATAAAACCGTATACCACGGTGACTTGAGTACAGATTTTGGTTATTATTTGAATTATCTGCCACATAAACAAATATATTTACTAAATGTTTCAGCACTGGAAAAAGAAGTTTTTGGTTCATTCTTAATGCAAGGGTATTTATTTTTAATTACTATAACATTAATATAAAGACAAAAGTCTATTCCCTTGATATTTATTATTTCCAAACGTATGTTTTTATCTCACCCCACTGGAAATAATTAGGGACATAATAAGGTATAAATAAATGTTTTTGCATCCGGAGGCAAGGTTACCAACACATACGTTGGAGGTCGATAGGTTACATAGATCCTCTTTTCTTGCCAACACATGCAATTCTTAGAAACACTTAGATTCGTATCCTGCACTCGCACGTAAGCATTTGTGTGTTTGAATTCGTTAGAATAACATAGTATTCCCCTCACTAAACGTTTAACAAGTAAACGTTTTGATCTGTAAAAGTGAGATAATGAAGGAAAGATACGAAAACTTTTAAAATACGATGTTTGAAACAATGAATTCAAAGAAACTTCTGTGAGTTTAGATATGCTCCACAAAATAGGCAAAGTATATTTAGAACAATATCATATTCACATATTTGAGGACACAGTTTTTTACATTTGGAGGACACATTGTTTATCACAAACGTGATAATCATACTACCGATGATAACTTTCTCATTTTCAAAATATTGCTGCAACTAATTCATTTAGAAAACAGCAAGCAATTTTTAAGCATCGACGGACGTACATACACGAAGAATTTGACCCAAAATGTGTTACTCCAGCAATTACAAAGAGCTAATATTACTTGTTTTCCAGGAGAAATTCAATAAATGATGAAAAGACAAACATTCCTTCTGAAGCACTAAGCCAAAAGAAAAATAAGTCTCGTTACAAAAAAACCGCACAAAGTGTGTTTGCAAGCACTGTTACAATTTCTTAAATTTATGTAAACTTACAAAAAAATTATAATAAACGTCTTAATGTAAACAACGCTCTTATTGATAATGAATAAAGCAGGAACATAATTATGATTTTTTTAGGGTTGAATTGGGCGGTATTCTGTTTTCTTGTCAAGTGAATATGTGTTTTGTCGTTTACTTAATTAAACCATCCTTAAAATATGGAAAATATATTGAAATGAATGTCACATTAAATTCATTTTTAATACATTCTCAGACACCATAACGTTTCTGCAATAGATCCGTAAAATGTTTTAAAAGCAACAAATGCAGCAAGGGGTACAAGTCCCGGTGCGACTGAATGCTTTCATTAAAATGACAGACCTCACGAAGGGATAGTTATTCAGATGTACGACCTGTACAAGGATTATTGTGTAAAAGAAAGATGTTAATTTGTAAAAATACAAAATGTTAAGTAAGGAAAAGGTAGCCGATTTAGCCTACATGTTGAAATGGATGCCATCTCTGGATCAAACCTATTTCAAAGAATTGTTCAAAAACAAAAAATATAACATTATAGCAAGGCAACCATTTTCTTTAATATGAATGTAAACATCATTTTAAATATAAGTGTAGAACATTAGTTTACGGTAAAATACTTTTTCCACATACAGTTCGCAAACTCTAAGTAAAAGTATTAAATTAAAATATGAATATTATTGTGTATTAAAATAATATTTGTACAAAATTGTAAGCATGTGTCTTTAAATTCATTAAAATTTAATAAATTATAATATTACATGGATATTTCCAATTATGTAAATAATCATCCAGTCAAATTTTCATTTTAATAATATTTTATTCATATTTAAATAATCATCCATAAAAGATAGAACACTCTTTCTCGAACTTGAAAATACATATTGAGAGTAAAAAGGTTCTATCAGAAAAAAGAGGGTCTTGATTTCTATCAAAGTTATCATGCTTTTAGAATAATTATGAGTCTACAGTTTTGTGTCTGGATGTAAAGTACACTGTCAAAGTTTGAATATATTTAATAAAATAGATTTTGTTGTAGAGAGGACCAAAACTTTGAAATGCTTTTGAGTAAAATTGATTGCGGTGTAGATAGAACTTTTTTTATTTTAGTGTCACGATATTGCAACCGCCACCTTATTTTTTTTCACAAACCCAAACGCCCCCGCTGGCCCATAAGGTTTGATGCATCAATCAAATACACTTCCATGATGTGAGGGAGTGTGATTGTACAATAGAAAATAAAAAAAGCTTCCGGGCCGAAACCAAGCTGCAAGGTATGTACCACCCAGTTGGCATACGCATCTGGCATGCAATGTCTATACCTTGTATATATTATTTGTATTTACTTATCCCTAATTGTTTATAATCTATATATTAATATAATTTATTTTGATAATTCGAATTTTAGCCATGACGATGATCGCTACACAATCGAAACGATCATTAGACAAATAAAGTGTTGATACCAGACAACATATTTTATTTATCATACTTAAATATTAGAAGGCATCTAACTCATCAGCGGTCTAAGTAATAGAATAGATGAACTAAAAAATATTAATTGCGCAATTAACTTGACTTTCACGATACTGTTCTGTAAAAGTTTCTTCTCTATTTACGAATGAAATAAACAATATTTCTTTGGAAAAGACATCTGTTCTCTCAAATCATCTGTAAAGCATGTAGAATAACCAGAACCCTCACGGTATATTCTCCGTACTGCAGAACGCCTCACAATTTCCGTTAAAACCGCCCGAGCAAGTGGCAGAGAATTCGCCGCAAATGTAGCCACGAAACGTCCAAATTGCTCCACAATCTCCCTCAGATCATGATGCGAACCATTGACAATTCCGAACTCTAATTACAAAAGCTACAACACAATTAAACTCATTGGCACTATGTAAATTACAAAAATAGGTTTTTATTTTACTCTCGTAAAGTGTTACGAATACCTAAATAATTTCCTCTATGAGCTTTTCTAAATGTTTCTTTGGTAGATATCGCTCCAATTCAAAATCTGCTGGCTTTCGAATCGTTCAACTACACGATTTGCTCGTATTTCTCAGATTTCTACAATATTTAAAAAATGCCGACTTCTGACGTCGTCCAGCGATCGTAGGCGGGTCTAAAGACACCCACTCTCAATACTTGAGCAGGTCACTTTTGCATACACTTGCACTAATACTTTCAAATATTAGAGGTTGGCTAGTTGAAAATTTATCCAAAGAAATATCTCATATTATATCTTGGTAATATGTGAAGTATTAAGAGTTCCTGGATAAGTTAATTGCACGATAATTACTCAGCTAAAAGAGATTCTTCCACGTGTTTTCGCTTTAGATCTACACCACATACACGCTCTTAGAAAATAGAATATTATAAAACGATTATGTAATGGTGACAATTAAGTACACTTAAAGTGATATAACAATACGAGCGGGTAACGAGCAAATGTAAACTTCATTCATGAAGATTAAGACCCCATTACATCGAGTTTCATACAGTACTTTTTCTACAATTAATAACAACTATTATACGAATAAGTTACACTTTGAAATTGAACATGTCAGCTTGCATTGTACCTAATGCTACCCATCGGACATTCACCTAGGTCTCCCTTCCACAGCCTTAGCTACAACGCGCACTGTGGCCAATCAGTCTCGAATTCATTTTGCTAGGAAAACAAAACATTTTATTTTATTCTGTATTATATGGAGTCAAGACACTCTTCCATATTTATGAAACTAAAAGAATATTTCCTGAATTTTAACGTTATGTGTGGAATATCAAAGAAGTATTATTTTATGTAATTTTAATATGTAATATTGAACGATGTATATATATTTCTTTTCGACACTGAATAAGCTTTTAGATCTTCAAGAAATCTTTTACCAATAATCATATAAAACTGCTGATATCATATTACTTCAAAATGCATCATCATTCGTTGATGGAATCATTTTTTAAAATAAAAAAAAATCGTTTGAGCAATACGTAACAACGTTACAAAGCGCCACCTACCCTTCGTTCTGAAAACGATCCGTCCGCGCATCTCTTGTTACCTACAGCCAATAACGGAATTATCGAAATGAAAGTCCGCAATGAGTTTCTCATATTACGAGAGTTGCATTTCACAAAATGGTCAAGCTATTACAGCAAGGAATACATATACTAAATAGTTCACATTCATATTATTAAATACACTTGTTAGCTTCATGTTTCATAAATGGTTTTCTCAATAAATAAACTAAGTGAACTGGTTGCTTTTGCTCAAAATTAAGATTCATATTTTTAATGCGTATTTTTAATATTACTTGGAACAAATGGGAGTACGAAGTAAGATAATTAAATTGGCTAAATGTATAATGTGTCGCCATACGTAACACGAATAATATTTATAGCTAGGAGCGTCCACAAAAAATTCCGGTAAGGGATAGTAAATTCATAGGGCTTCTTGTTTCAAACAAAAGTTTTGTCCTCAAAAATTAGATCCGTGCAAAAGAAATAACATTCATCGGTTAATATGTATTACAAGTAAATAGACTTTTTATTTGTTTTGATGAAAAAACTTCGGACCTTTATTAAGTCCGGAGTTGGAACAAGTTGCCTCAAGTTTCCCTCCCCCTCTTCTCGGCGAACCTCTGTGTGTGTGTGTTATGAGTAAATTCATCACTGATACATGCAGTTAAGTCTATATAATATATTCTTATTTTAATAGTTGCATTGCCAACGTACGAAATTTCGTGAGTTAAAACAGCAGAACATCACTCGTAACACAAGTCCGGGAAACGTCATTCAACTCTCGAAACATGTCATTCGTGTATTTCCTGAAATGGTGACAAACTGCAACCCTTCCGTCCACCCGGTAGACTAATGCACTGACGAGAAAGTCGATACTCCCGAAAACGTTACAACTGTCGCGCCAATACGCAATGTCCCGCATTTTAAACAACGCTCTTCAATGAAACTACAAAACGCCGGGGCTCTTTCTCCCCTCGCCCCCAACACGACTCGTTGCAGTCCACAGCGTGTTCCACTTCTAACAAGAACAGAGTCCGGTTGGTTGCCTCTGTTGGTGATGTCAGTGTGGAGGACACTATTCAAGCTTCCAATCACTATTAAGGCTAGACACTAGGATCTACGGAAAGTGCTGGTTTTATAGTCACGAGTTTCGAGGAGATACGTTTTTAAACATTCCGGATAAATATGCTGGTAGTGTTTTTACACAAAAACAGTTTTGCTCCCCTCCACCTCCTCTCAATTATTCTGTTGCCCAAATCCTCATTTGATAGTTCGTTCACTTTTGGGGAAATAACAGCAAAGTCATCGTCGGCTGCATGACGATTATTTTTCAGCAGCTATTTCGGGCGCACTTAAACCACGAAGTGTAAACATTTGAAGAACAAATGGTAGAATTCCTCATCACAGATTTCTGTCCTGAGACTAGGCCTAAAATGTCACAATTTAATATAAATCAGTTTTATATTTTCCAATAAACTGAAAGGATACTCGTGAACATCAAAACCAAAGATCGCAATTACTTGCAGAGGCTTAATTAAACTCGTCCAATCTAAAAAATGGAAATTAAAATGAACATCTGGAAAATAATTATCAAAATAATGTAGTGTAGAAACCTATAAATGCTGTGACTCACATGCAGTGGCTATAAATCTGTACGTTATCAAATTTCATTCACAGAAGCACCGATGCACATTAACGCATTTTGTCAATATTCTTTTTTTATTAAACTGGTAAGCACTTTCGCTATGGTGTAAGAAGATTTGCTAATAGGTAGCTACCTGGAGGCAGCATTCGTCACACGATTGTGCGTCCATTTTCGGGAGAATATTTTCTTAAGCCGCACACCTTTTTTCAACGCAAAGTAAGCGCATAGATTGGGTCTTTCCCGAACGCACTCTCCCTGCCGATTAAGCGTCAGCTTACCAGGAAAACTCCAACAACATTCACACTATTCTTTAGAAAAAAGAGAGTTTGTTTTGCAAAACGGCTTCTTCCTATATTCGAAATTATAAATAAAAAAATAGTTAAAATTCGAATGAAAATTACAGTGTATAGTTTGGTGGATGGATTACTTTAACGGATCAATCAAATAATGTTAAACAATGACGCAGAAAAATATTCTAGAGAAGAGAATGAGAAATTCGCACATAACTGATTTAAGGATAAAATATTTTTAGAGGTAAGTTCATCTCTCACTGGCCGTTAATGGGACGTATAACCCCTGCCTTCACCATGTAGCTGTGTAAAATAACAACTTTACCTCTTCTCTCCACAATCTGACCAGCGTATTTTCTGAAGCCCAATGCACACTAATATGCTATGTATATTACTTTAGAAATTACAGATGATATTTTGGCTTCCAAATTTTTCATAGAACGCTCGAGAATGTCTGACGCTGCGTTATGATAGAAAACGTAGTCTGCTTTACTTGATGAACTCTCATTAATGTGTTAACGATTGTCGGTTGAAAGTCTGCGAGGTTTCGCATGATGTTCGGCAGTGGAGAATGCGCAGCAATCTGATTCAAGTGCATTTCAGTCTCATCCAGATTATATAGCTAAAGGAAGATTCTTGTTGGAAATGGAAGCTGAGCAACATTTGTGGTAAAACGTGTGGATGTTATT